AACAGTTCATTGTTGGAGCTGAGCGGGTGATCTGAATGAGAGATTGAGAGAGAGAGAGAGATGCAGAGCGTGTGTAGAGCAGGGGGCGCGAGGAACAGTATTTAGATCCGCTGCTTTAGAACATTGATTTTGAAACTTGTAAATCCAATAGAATCGTTAGAAGACAGAATCGCGATTTATATAGCTTATGAATTTATTTGTACGTGCACCTCTAGTTTTCTCTTCCTCTTCTCTAAAGCAGCGCAGCATGGCCTCGCCCCCTTTGCTGCCTTTTCCCGAGGGCGGGGTTTATCTGGGTTTGTGATGTCACGAACCCGGGAAGTAGCACGTTGTAGTCCCTACCAGACGTTTTTGTAGGCATTAAACTGACAGAATTTTAAAAGACGATATCTCCGTTTGCATTGAACTTTCAGCTTCGTAACTTTGCAGATATTGTTTATGCTCAAACAGCAACATTACACACTAACTAATGTTAAAAAAGTGAAATCACAATCAACCACCCCTTTAAATTCTTTTTATGTTAATCAGTTTGAATTACCAATGTGTTTGAAATGTGCTATAGACTAAAAAACGTTAAAAATAAAACACAAAAGGATTGTACCCTTTTTAAAAGATACATCTTTATACCTTATTTACCCCAAAATGGTGCATATTAGTACCTTAAAGGTACATATTAGTACTATTAGTACCTTTTGAAAAGGTACTGCCTTAGTGACAACGTTTGTACTTTTTTTTCTTCTGAGTGTGTATAAATAAACTTGCCCTGCCTAATTACCCATTTACTGAATGAATATGCACTATATAACTTAATATTAATTACCATTAAAAATGACAGATTTGAAATATTTCAGCATTAACTCCCTCTCATCTCCCTCTACACCTGTAGCCTGGTCAGTCTGTAGGGATGTTGGCTGCGGTGGAACATGGTCCGGTCCTCTGCAGTGACTCCAACATCCTCTGCCTCTCATGGAAAGGGAGAGTTCCCAAAAGTGAGAAGGAGAAGCCGGTGTGCAGGAGGCGCTACTATGAGGAGGGCTGGCTGACGTTAAAAATAAAACACAAAAGGATTGTACCCTTTTTAAAAGATACATCTTTATACCTTATTTACCCCAAAATGGTGCATATTAGTACCTTAAAGGTACATATTAGTACCTAATGTGTACATATTAGTACCTAAATGGTACATATTAGTACTATTAGTACCTTTTGAAAAGGTACTGCCTTAGTGACAACGTTTGTACTTTTTTTTCTTCTGAGTGTGTATAAATAAACTTGCCCTGCCTAATTACCCATTTACTGAATGAATATGCACTATATAACTTAATATTAATTACCATTAAAAATGACAGATTTGAAATATTTCAGCATTAACTCCCTCTCATCTCCCTCTACACCTGTAGCCTGGTCAGTCTGTAGGGATGTTGGCTGCGGTGGAACATGGTCCGGTCCTCTGCAGTGACTCCAACATCCTCTGCCTCTCATGGAAAGGGAGAGTTCCCAAAAGTGAGAAGGAGAAGCCGGTGTGCAGGAGGCGCTACTATGAGGAGGGCTGGCTGGCCACTGGGAACGCCAGGGGTGTTGTGGGTGTGACGTTCACGTCTAGTCACTGTAGAAGGGACAGAAATACCCCACAACGAATCAACTTCAATTTACGAGGTCATAACAGTGAGGTGGGAGTTTGCCTTGTCATTGTAAATCATTGTAAGTTATAAGATGACTTCCAAAAACTGTATATTTTACTGTAAAATTACATGAAATGTCCTATTAGAACTATTTCACCATATAGTAAGGGGACTTACCGTAGTATTTTTCATCTTTACCGTCAAAATTCTGACCATTTTTACGTGTATGTTTTGATAAATGTGTTTAAAAGGATTTAACCTTATATGAGGTAAAACATTTCAATCAAATCAGTGGACTAGAAATCTAAGTTTCTAGTATTCTAAGTTGAGCTATAAAATAGGATGCCATCCTATGCATGAGTAGCATGTACAAAATTCTGCTAGAACGTCATTCTCATGGTGCTGTTCTTGTGTAGGTTGTACTTGTTAGATGGAATGAACCGTTTCAGAAGCTTGCAACGTGTGACATGGAGGGAGGGATATTTGTGTGGATCCAGTATGAAGGAAGATGGTCTGTAGAGCTGGTGAATGACAGAGGTGCCCAGGTATGTTAATATTTCGTGCTTATTATTAATCTGCTGAATGTCAATGTATTTCCATGATATGTCAATATTCCTAAACTTACTAATATGTTTTGATAAATCATGCATTATCTTAAATACTTAAAAACGTTTTATTGAACAAAATATTGAAAAAATCTAAAAACAAAAAGTTTTTTTAAGTATGATATTTGATGCATCAGGCTTTAATAGCTCATATGTGATCCTGGAGCACAAAAGCAGTCTTAAGTCGCTGGGGTATGTTTGTAGCAATAGCCAAAAATACATTGTATGGGTCAAAATTATAGATTTTTTTATGCCAAAAATCATTAGGATATTAAGTAAAGATCATGTTCCATGAAGATATTTTGTAAATTTCCTACCGTAAATATATTAAAACTTAATTTTTGATTAGTAATATGCATTACTAAGAACTTCGTCTGGACAACTTTAAAGGCGATTTTTTCAATATTTAGATTTTTTTGCACCCTCAGATTCCAGATTTTCAAATAGTTGTATCTCAGCCAAATATTGTCCTGTCCTAACAAACCATACATCAATGGAAAGCTTATTTATCCAACTTTCAGATTATGTAAAATCTAAATTTCGTAAATTGACCCTTATGACTGGTTTTGTGGTACAGGGTTACATATAATATGATATGACAATATATAGCCCCTACTCGACAAACTATCAATCAAATGAAAAAAGTCATGTAGTAGATTGTTTACAACATTTATGGTAAGACAATGTAAATAAAGTATGATATAATGATTCAGTTATTTCCTTTTTCCATGCCACTTTCTCATGTTATTCATCATTGGGGATTATTGTTCAAAATTACTTTTTAGTTATAAAACAGAATGTAGTTAATTAGTAAATTCTAAATATCAATTCAAAATCAGAATCAGAAAAGATAATTTGTCTTTTAATAAAACTTTTCAACTCTGGCCCTTTTGTAATACAATCAAGACCATGAAAAGCAGTTATTATTCTAACATGAACTGCTCAACGAACTAGTGGTTTGTCATCTAGGTGAGTGACTTCACCTGGTCACATGATGGTACACAGGCCTTAATCGCCTACAGGGATGGTTTTGTCCTGGTGGGTTCAGTGAGCGGTCAGAGACACTGGTCGTCTGAGATCAATCTGGAGAGCCAGATCACCTGTGGAATATGGACCCCTGATGACCAGCAGGTAACTCTTTGCGGTGGCCTCATCAAACTGAGAGAAAAGTGCATTTGTTGTCAACAGGTTGTTTGCAAATGATGAAATGACTTGGACCGCTGCCTTTGGACCGATGCCTGAGTTTCCCTAACTTGGTGTTTGCATTCATTTAATCTCCCTAGGTGCTTTTTGGAACAGCAGACGGGCAAGTCATAGTGATGGACTGCCACGGCCGTATGCTTGCCCATGTTCTTCTGCATGAGTCAGATGGCATAGTCAGCATGTCCTGGAACTGCCCAAACTTCCTGGTGGAGGACAGCACTGAGAGCGATACAGACTCTGATGACCCTACTCCAGCTCAAGGTACTTTATACTCTTAAATAAAGTCAAATTTATTTGTTTAGCACTTTTCACAATACACATTGTTTCAATGCAGCTCTACAGCAAGTGTGATGTTGATAATATCTTATCTTCATGCCTCATAGGCACATTTAGCAGATTAGCACTGGATGATAATATAATTTTATGATTATACAAGCAATCAGTTAGTTGAAATATGCTATATACTGCAGTATATTGCGCTGAGTGACTATTCTGTATGTATGCAGATGAAGTTGGACATACTTCACTTGTATATATAAAAAGCTAAATAAAAAGCCTTTTTTTACAAAGTCATTTTTTCACCGTATTTCTTAGTTTCTTGGCGATTACAAACTTTTGAGATTACATAATAGGTTTTTAAGACCAGTGCATTGCATGCATCATCCACTAATGAAAGAAAAGTGAAGCCTTATTGTGTTTTTCCAAGTACCAGTACATAGAGTGTTTTCTAAACAACCATAAAACTCTACTGTGGATCTTTATTCTTAAACATATACAAAATGTTTATGCAAATACATTTTTATGGATCTTTGCAAGGCAGTGATGTGTATTTGACTTTCTGAATGTTATTAACTATGAAACCATGTTTCCTTTCAAGTGCAAAATCTCAAACCACTGCTCACGGTCAGCTTCATATCAGGAGACATCAGTTTGATGAACAACTATGATGACCTTTCACCTAACATTATACGCTCAGGACTGAAAGGTAAAACAGTGTTGTTTTTGCAATAAATAAATTACCAAGTACGTGTTTTATAACTGCCACATGATGGTTATTAATAGAATATTCCAAGTTATTTTTAACGTCATGAGCATCTGTGGCATGGTGTTGATTACATTTTATAGTAACAAGGTTTTTCATGGTTTAGGAACTTCTGGTTACGCCTACAGAGTAATTCAGTAAAAATAACCCAAAATCCTGTTGATTCTCTGTGGCAGAGCCACACATCGTACTGTAATCTGACTGGACAGACTTGTGTTTTTTCAGATGTGGAGGTACAATGGTGCTCTCAGGGAGACCTGCTGGCAGTGGCCGGGATGGAGAGACACGGCCTGCCCGCTGACTCAGCCTGTGCCTCTTTAATGAGGAACGCCCTTGTCAAGTTTTACAATGTCCAAGGGGAACATATATACACTTTAGAAACTCCAGCCCAAGTGAGCTGTAACCAGTCATCATTTAACAGTTTAAATGATGTTAAATCATTTAAGTTAAACCCCTAGCTGTCTCAGAACATTACTGCAACCCATTTTATGTTATGTCTCACCACATGAGAACCACTGATATAAAAAACATCCTGCATTAAATAATAAGTAAACTATATGTAATCTAAATATCTTTTTATTTTAGAGGCCCATCACCACGATTTGCTGGGGTCACAGGGACTCACGTCTGTTTCTGGCCTGTGGACCAGCCCTGTATGTAGTGCGTGTGGAGCACCGTGTGGCCAGCCTGCAGCTTCTGTGTCAGCAGGGCATTGCCAGTGCTCTTAAAGAGGAGAGAGATGTGGGAAAACTGAACATGCCTTCACTCCTCTGTTCCTATGTTACCACTGCTTTCATTCCAACTATCAAGGTACAAAAGAAGCAAGTGAAATTTTCGATGTATGCTAATGTATGCATTGAACTTAGTGCATAATATTTTACATCTCACCAGCCACCAATCCCTGATCCGAATAACATCCGAGACTTTGTGAGCTATCCGACAGCAGGGAATGAACGCTTGCACTGCACTATGAAACGTTCAGAGGAGAATCCAGAAGCAGGAGGCCCCTGTTATACCCTCTATCTGGAACACCTGGGAGGTTTGGTGCCTATTCTCAAGGGTCGACGCATCAGCAAACTGCGACCGGAGTTTGTCATTATGGATCCAAAAATGGATGGTAAAGCAGGTACTGCTATATGCACTGTTGCTGATCATGTACACTTTAAACTCAAGCTTAATGAGTAAATGCATTGGTCTTTAATTTGCTGGTCTTTAAAAGCTGGTCTTTAATTTGATCTAATCTTGTCTTTCAGATGAGGTCTGTGTAAATGGGATGATCTCCTATATGACTGACAGCTGTAACTGCTCAGACTCAAGTGATATTGAGTTGAGCGATGAGTGGGTTGGGCGAAAGTCGCCCAAACTTTCTAGAGGAAACAGGTCTCCTAAGCTACCTAGGTACTCTAAACATATAAGGTACTGTTGAATATAAAATTCACACAACATTACAGGGTGCCTAAAACTTTTGTTTTCATTTCTTTTGAGAAATGTTTGTTCTATCACAACCTTGACAAAACACAATACAGTAAATTTCTGTACAAAAAAACAACTTTTAACTTGATAGCAAGTTAAATTTCACATTTGTTTTATTCTCTAGAATTAATATGGAATCAAGAAAGTCTCCTAAACTTGCCCAAACATCTCAAGAAAGGTCTAGGTCTCCTAGATTACCAAAGAAGCCTTCAGTTCGGTCTCCGAGTCTTACTCAAAGAGAATTTCCAGTTGATGGCTTTAGTGAGGTACTTAACATCTTATTTGCAAGCTAATTTTGGCAATAATTTTATATTAATCTACTTGCCTAGAATTAATATGGGAAGTGTTTGTATTTATCGCCTCTGTCTGCTTGATACTGAGTGAGACATTTGTCACATTTACTGCAGCATGACTTTAGCAGACACCTAATTTTCTTTAAACTCCTGCTTTGCTGAAGAGAAATGACAGTAAACCGACTATGACCTTGAATATTTTCTATAGCTATCACTTAATTTGCTTTGCAGCATAATTACTTGGCCCAGGTCACCTCTAACATTTGGGGAACAAAGTTTAAGATTGTAGGCCTTGCCTCATTTTTGCCAGCTAACTTGGGAGCAGGTATGTTGTCAGGTTTTATATTCAAAAAGGTTCGCATTATTATTTTAAATAATATTCTTAATGTTTTTAAAATATGTCTTGACATGGTGTTCCAGTTATTTATAAAACTAGTTTGCTGCACCTGCAACCTCGTCAGATGACCATTTATTTGCCTGAGGTGCGTAAAATATCCCTGGACTTCATGAGTCTGCCAGTCTTTAATCCCAATGTGTTCAGTGAAGATGAAGATGATTTACCTGGTAAGCATCAGTGGAACATTTTTGTACATTTTGTCTCTGTATAGCTTAACTAAAACAAGAAAGAAATCTCAAGATGTTCTTGCTTATTTCTAGTTATGGGACCCTCAGGAGTGTCAGCCGACAATCCTCCTTGCACAGTTAATATCCCCATTGCTCCAATTCACAGCCCTGCTCAAGCCATGTCACCTACGCAGAGTATAGGCTTAGTGCAGTCTCTCCTAGCCAACCAGAATATTCAGCTTGATGTCCTTACCAATCCCACTGCAACTGCAGCAGCAGCAGCAGCTGCAGCAGCAACAGCAGCAGCGGCTAATGCAACAGTATCTGAGCACAGTCAGGACACTGTGACAGCACAGTACACTGTGCCAACCAGATATTCCAACCAAGGACAGGTGATTTTCAGTGGACTGGAAATGAGTAATATCCTGAGTGGAACTCTTCCTCCTCCTCCACATCATCTGCCACAACAACCCAACCAACAATGTCAACAACAACAGCAGCAACAAGACCATCAACAATCTAAACATCAACATCAATTACAACCACAGCAGCATCATCTGAAATTGCAACATCAATCACAGCAGCTGCATCAACAGTCGCTGCAGCAGCAACACATGCAACATCAGCAGCAACTGCAAACGCAGCAGCATCAACAACTGCAACAGCAGCATCAACAGCAACTGCAACAGCAGCATCATCAGCAACTGCAACAACAGCATCAACAACTGCAACAGCAGCATCAACAACAGTTGCAACAACATCAACAGCAACTGCATCAGCAGCAAATGCAACAGCAGCAACTGCAACAGCAGCAACAACAGATTCAGCAGCAAGTGCAGCAGCATCAACAACAAATTCATCAACAGCATCAACAACAATTCCAACAGCAACAGCACCAGTTGCAGATTCAGCATGAGCAAATTCAGCAGCAGCAGCAACAGATGCAACAACAGCAGCAACAAATTCGACAGCAAATACAAGAAATGAAACAGCAGCAGCAACAACTTCAACAGCAGCATCAACAAATACAGATGCAGCATCAACATATGCAAAGACAGCATCAGCAAATGCAGCAGCAGCTTAAAATACAAATGTCCCTTCAACATCCACCTTCAGGGTATGCTACTCTATCCCTGCATCAGTTACAGCTAATGCCTCAAATTCCTCATCCAGACCAGCCTCCAGACAGAGGAGAACAATTTCTCCCTCTGAAGATTCCCTCACGACCACAGTTATTTATTGAAACTGACACCATTGAGATACAGATGCGCAAAGTAAACCCTCCACCACCGTACCCAGGTACAGTGGTATCTGCTGCAGCTGCCGCTCCCACTACGGCCCCTCCTGGTCTTCTTGTTAGCAATGAGAATGGCACTACACTGTCAACAGATCCATGTTTAACTAAGGATGAATTCTCTCTTAACCCAATTAGCCTCCAGTACCCAACTCCACTAGGCTATGAAAGAATCACTACTTTTGACAGCAGCGGAAATGTCGAAGAGGTGTGTCGCCCAAGGAGACGCCTTTTAAGGAACCAAAATGCCTATGGGATGCAAGGAATGGGCAGCTCCGCCACATTGAAAGTAACTTCATCTGAGAACAAGAAGGTCCAGTTGCCATACAGCTCAGCAACTCTTAGTCGCCTCTCAGTGCCTAGATATTCCATACCAAGCGGAGACCCACCACCTTATCCTGACACGTCTAGCCAAATGAACACAATCAGAAGTCCCACGCAAAGGATTGACAACAGTTTGATTCATGCCACTTTGCGCCATGATCGCAGGGAACCGACCCTGAAGGTTTCTCAGATGGTGGATACTGTGAGGACTCTACCAACTAAATCCAAAATGAACGGTTCCCTCACACTCTCCTATCAGCCAAGGATACCTACTGCTTTGTATACATGCACTCAGTGTAGCAGTAATAGTTGCAGCACTAGTGTAAGTGTCACTGGTGGCGGCACCAACAGCAGTGGAATTGCTGGAGGAACTGTGGTGAGGCAAGACTTTCCACCTGGAAAAGGGGCTCAACACAGCACAATAATTGTGCACTCCAAAAGTGCCTCGCCATTAGCCTCCCAGTCCTCCTATAATCTCCTGAGTCCCATTGACAACAGTAGAGACAGAACTGTCTATGTGAACTCTGCCTTTACGGAAGACGAGACACTAAGTCAGCAGTGCCATCTTGAAAAGTCAGTGAGGCATTTAACACTTGATGTCAATTTGACAGTCAAACGGCCTCCACCTTATCAATGGGACTCTCCTGCAGCAGAACAACTCTGGATACCTCAAGAGCAAAATTTATTGCCTCGACCTCCAGGACCACCACATAAGCCACCACCATTTTTACTTAGCCAACCACAGCACTTAGACATGACCCGACTACCTTTTGTCCTTTCAACAAAGCCTCCCCCCAGTCCCAGTTCTATGACCCTTCCTTCAGCCTATCAGTTATCCCTTTCACCCTTCCCATCAGTTGTAGGGCATGGTGGACCTCAACTACAGCCTTTGCAGAGTCCTGCACAATCATGTGGCCCCAGTGACATGGTAACATCTAGCCCTTTCAGCCAACCAGACTCAACTTTAGTCCCACCCCCAGGTTATCCTGCAAATTTGACCAATCTAGGTTGTTGCACTCTGCCTCCCATGTACCCAGGGACTAGCTCATGCAGCAACCTTCAGCTGCATCCAGTGAGCTTGCATCCTTGGAGCACATACAGCACTTGTCCTCCCATGCCAGACCATTCCGCCACACTGCCCAGTAAGACCCATCAGGCTCTGGAGAAGTCGGTTCTCTCTCCACCTCCACCTCCCCCACCACCTCCTCTTCCTCCTCCTCCTCCACCCGCCGAGCTCTTGAACCATCAGAGCACCTCTGAGGTGGTTGCAGAATCTGGGGAGAGCTTTCAGGATCAGTCCTCTCTCAATGAGAGTCCACAAGGAGCAGAGAAGTTCAGCAAGAAGACACGTAAGAGGCTTGACAGCAGGGCAGAAGAGGCCAATATGTCTGGAGTTTCTGAAGGGAAATCCAAAAAAGAGAATCGCACACTCTCTGACTTAAATTCCCTGATCTCCAGCCCAAGACTTGGTAGCAGGGAAAAGAAGAAACCTAAAGGGCAGAAAGAGCCATTGAACAAGGCCAAGAAACTGAGTAGGACCTCCAATGAGTTCCAGGACAGCTCCGAGAGTGAGCCTGAACTCTTCATCAGTAGTGACGAGTTGATGAACCAAAGCCAGAGCAGCAAGAAAGGATGGAAGAGCAAACGCAATCTGCGTACAGCAAACGAACTTGAGGAAATCAAGTGTCGTAAAGCTAACGAGAGAGAGGATCGTAGTCTTGGCAGCCAAGGCTTTGTCTATGTCATGGCCAACAAGCAGCCATTGTGGAATGAAGCCACCCAGGTTTACCAGCTTGACTTTGGAGGACGGGTGACACAGGAGTCAGCCAAAAACTTTCAGATTGAGCTTGATGGACGCCAGGTAAGCGATTTTATTTATTTGAGAAACCAGTTTGAAAATAATATTTTTGCAGTTCCATTTTGTGACACTAGGGGCAAAGAAATTACACCTTTAACAAATATGCACCATACATATTCAGTAGCTTTGAGCAGTGGTTCTTAATCCTGGTCCTAGGGACCCCTTGCTCTGCACATTTTGCATGTCTCCCTTATTTCACACATCTGATTCAGATCACCAGCTCATTAGGAGAGAGCTCCATGTTTTGAACTGTGTGTCAGTTAAGGGAGACATAGAAAACCACTGGCTTTGAGTAATAAACATCAACCCTGCAACCATTACCCTGCATCTAACCCCATAATTCTCTATTACAGGTAATGCAGTTTGGCAGAATCGATGGCAATGCATATATCCTGGATTTTCAGTATCCATTCTCAGCGGTACAGGCATTTGCTGTGGCCTTGGCCAATGTAACTCAGAGACTTAAATAAAAAACCTCTCCAGCAATCTTGTCCTTGAGAACAGATGGACTGAAAAAAGAGTTTAATGTTAATTGGAGATTGTGAGAAATATTACATTCTCTGCTGCCATAACGTCTGTGCAATGCCAGTTAGTAGGCGAGAGATCTGGTCACTCTCAGGCAGAGCGTACACAAGACGTAGACAGGTGGTCCGAAAATAGATGTAGTGCTTTAAAGTACCTTTTTGTTAACAAAGGTACAAGCTGATTTAAGGTTCCACCTAAAAGGTGGTTGGTATACATCTGAAAAAAGTTAATATTTGTGTATTGATGGAATATTGTTTTATTTATTAATTCACTTTCATAGATTTTTTCCATGTATTTCATTAGCATATAATGGTGTGATTTAAATATAAAGATAATTACTAAAGGTGAATCTTAGACTGTGGGCTTTGTTTATTTTTTCCCCCTCTGAATACCCCACCTCCTTTTATGTTTGTATCAGAGATTTATGTGCCAAATTTGGATTTCCTATGTATAATCATTGTAAAGTGACAGATTTTGACTATTGTGAGTGGTCAGTAACCAATGAAAATCTAGAGAGGAAAAAAACAAGTTATGTTTGAATGTTCTCATCCTGTGACTCACTTCCATGAAGTGAAACAGAGATAGTATATTCAAGTTATAATCATATTTTCCCAATTGTGCCACTATAATGAATGCATTTTTATGGTTTAAAAATCAATTTAACTTTAAATTTAACTTTTTCTTCACAAAATGTCTTATGTTATATTGCATCATTTGCACACTGTGTTATTGCAGTATCTCAGTAATGTCCTTTTTGAATGAATATTTGCTTTTTAATGTTAACAGTAACAGAAAAGTTTGAACAATTTTTAATTACTTTCAAATAGATTATATTGTCATTGTCATGTAAGTGACATGACAGAAAAGTGCTGTAGTTAGATGTACCTGAAAATGTACTCATATCGTCCATGACACTAGCACGAACTATATAGTATGCATTCATTTAGCCAAAAATGTCTTATATCACTATATAAATCAAACTTAACACACTGTATATTATGCAATGAACGGAATCTAAATGAAATCAAAAGTTGATAAGTAGGAGTTTTTCTCATTCCTAAGTTAAATAGTCAACCTAAATTGCTTAGTTTGATTTATGTAAAGGGACATCTTTTAATAATTACATTTAATATTTGGTTTCAAATATTTAATGTTTAATATTCTGCATCAATATTTATGTGTTCTTATGGCAAATCAGCTAATTGATTTGTTTGTTGTTGCTTAGTTTCTGATGTTTTCCAGTAATTTCATCCATTTTAATCACATTTTTGTTGTATGCCAAACAGTGGTTCAGAGTGGGGTAGTGATCTGGTTGACGTTTTAAGCACTTCTTGATTATTCTTGATGTTGTGTGCTTTGATGATTTGCAGTTGCAGTTATTTTTAGCCCCTTTGTACTGGGATATTCAGGCCCAGATTAAATTATGTGGGAATGTGAGGCTTTAACTGTGCTTTATTGCTTAATTATTCTAATGTACATTTACAAAATGTAATTCAAGGGTGTCTTGGAAAAGCATTAGAATGTCTTTGCAGAGTAGGCTTAAAGTCATGAAATAAAATCAAACTAGTTTGATGAAATCTGTGTTGATTATTGATGCTGTACAGTAATCTCAATCAAGTTTTTGGACATAATAGTATTTAATTCACACCTGCCTCAGTGAGAAAATCACAGCTTTGAAAAACAGTGCAACTGGATAAACATGCTTTTTGAGATTGTGTTACTGCACTGACCTCTAAACGGAGCACTATTGTTCGCATCGTGCTTCCTAAGTCCTTGTTGGAATCTTGAGTTTGATTCATGTTAGCGAATCGGTTCGTTCACATGGTTCGTGTCAATGAGCCTGTTTTTTAAACCGACTCACTTTTTTTGGATTTAACTTTTAATTCTATTAATTCGTTTATTTTGACATCACTGTTCTGTATTAGGCTATTAAAATTGCATTAAATGTTGTTTTTATTGCTCAAACATTGTTCACACTGGAAATGAATGACTGAACAGTTCTGCAATGTTTCCAGTATTAAGAAAAATGTCAATAATTTCCAATATTGTTACAGGTTTTATTCCTAAACACAGCTGAGTGATCCGCGCTTTGCGAATCGGTTCGACCGAACATTGAAAAGATTCAGTTCAAAAGAATGATTCTTTTGAGAATCGGAGACCATCCACTCTGTTGAGTTTCCCAGCTGACAGGTTAAGCACGCGGTGAAAGATCTCAGAGACTTGACAATGGATATCGACGAAGATATGGGTATGTAGATACATTTAAATGAGTGGTTGTTAATGGGTGTTTAGCATTTAGAATCTTGAATGAGTTTTGAACTTTTAGCGCGTTTGCCAATGACAGCGAGTTATTCTCGAGCATTTTACTGTGTTTCTTTACTGATAACTTCATATAGGTGATTCTTCAGCACCAGAGGCTCCAGCCACTAAAATGTCCAGACAACAGATATTAACACTTATTGCAATGGCCTCCATAAACTTCAGTTCAATGATCTGTTACTCCATTCTGGGACCATTTTTCCCAAATGAGGTACAAAGATGATATTTTATATAATATTAATTGTATGATCAACAGTGTTGGGGGTAACGCATTACAAGTAACGCGAGTTACGTAATCAGATTACTTTTTTTAAGTAACTAGTAAAGTAACGCATTACTTTTTAATTTACAAGAGAATATCTGAGTTACTTTTTCAAATAAGTAACGCAAGTTACTTTTTTTCTCCAATTTATTGATTGGCAGCTCTCCTGTCCCCATGTACAATATGGAATAGAATTTGTTCTAAGTACTGTGCTAAGGGCATGTAAAGTTTCTTAAACCATGCTACAGTAGGATAAGAATTCATTTCAATCTGATTCATTCTTTCTAGGCAAAGAAGAAAGGTGTCAGTCAAGCTATGATTGGTTTAATATTCGGAATCTATGCATTATGCACTTTGGTGGGCTCATTGATACTTGGTAAATATGTAAGTGAATCGTTATTTCAGAAGATCCACAACAGCTTTCAACAGTTTCCCATTATGGATTGCACACACTATATCAGTGCATTTGACCTCTGTTTCAGATTGTCCAGATAGGAGCCAAGTTTATGATTGTGGCAGGGTTGTTCGTATCGAGCGGATGCACTGTACTCTTCGGGTCAGTGAATCGGTGATGTTTTATTGTGTTTTAAATGTAGTATTTTGTGTCTTTTAGTCTGTGTCTGTTAACTTTCAGGTTATTTGCATGCTGGATTATGCCTAAATGTTGACTTTACTCTTTTGGAAAATCGGATGAAAAATGCTGGTGACTCATGTAACAGAGAATTTGTACCATTTCATCATATTAATGATATTGTTTCTTCTGCAGATTTCTTGACCAAGTGTCTGATGGGACAGTTTTCATCGTGCTCTGTCTTATTACACGGTGCATAAATGCAATTGGCTTTTCCGCCGCCGTTACATCATCCTTTGCAGTTTCAGGAAAAGTTTTCCCCGACAACATAGCGACTGTTTTGGTGAGTTGTGGTCAGTGCTTGTTTTTCAGTGCAGTAATGGTGTTTTGGAGTAAAGTGACAAATGAAGCACTATTGCACGTCACAAAAGATGTGCTGTTTCTCAAGAGAATCATCTTTAGATTCAGTTATTCAGTCTGTCTGGTTGTTTGGGTTCTCACGGTCGGGGCATATACACCGAACCGTTCTTATGTTTTTAATATTTACACAAGTGTGCTATAATGTTAAATGTGTCTCTATAGTGATATCTCATTCTCTCAGGGCTTCATGGAGATTTTTACAGGTCTTGGCCTGATATTGGGGCCTCCGTTGGGCGGCTGGCTCTATCAGTCATTTGGATATGAAATCCCATTCGTTTTCACAGGATGTCTTCTGTTTGCGACAGTGCCTCTTAATTTGTGGATTTTACCGAGCTTTGGTTAGTGCGGACTTCATACTGGTTAAATATTATATGTCTTTATTCATTTAATTTAAGCCCATTCCATTTGGCATACTTCTAGTTAAGTTATGTCACAAGGATTTGATTGCCCTGTGTCTGCTTTTGTTATTGTTTGCCCTCCAGCCATGGAGATAGACATGTGTGTTTATTTCATTCCAATATAGATGCTGTCCCTTCTTCCCAGAATTCCTTCCTCAGATTGTGTACCAGAATAAAGATCCTTCTCATCTGCTTCGTGGTGTTCACGTTGAGTTCAGGACTTGGCTTCCTGGATGCAACACTGTCCATATTTGCCATAGAAAAGGTTATGAAGATTTAGAAACTACACTGAAACATGTGTATATATATATATATATATATATATATATGTAAAAATATATAACATATATATAAAATATTTTGTGCTTAAACATATAGACTACATGTAAACTCACTCAAGTTTCAAATCAGGGAAAATGTTCTAAACTCTTCATTCCAAAATACTGCTGTAAATGTTCATGTAAAGGTTCTCATTCTATATAATAATATAAAACATCTCTGTATGTATTTTTTGTGAACAGCTTAATCTCAGTGCTGGTTCGGTGGGGCTGCTCATGATTGGACTTTCACTGCCATATGGGGCGGCATCGCCCGTCTTTGGTGTGATCAGTGATAAATATCCTGTAAGTCAATATTCAAACAGTTATCAAAATGTTTACAGTGACAGTTGAAAATTCTGATAAAAAAAACTTTGACCTTTTTGAAATTCCTAATGACATTTGACATTATAATACAATAATTAATTGTATTTATATGTTTAAGATGTTTCATTTTTAATTTAACATTTTTATGATTTTTATCATTATGTTTTTATATTATTTGATTTATATATATATAATATATATATATATATTTTACGATTTTTAGTTTTTGGAAATGTTTTTTTTTTTTTAAACATAAGCATAAATAAAATTTTAATCTCATCTGTGGCTGTAAAATGATTCTTGGTGCAGTCCGTTAGGAAATGGATGATGGTGGTTGGAGGAATGGCCACAGCGGTGAGCTTCTGTTTCCTCGGCCCACTTCCTGTTTTCCATATTAGAAGGTGAAACATTCATTTCTAACTTTTTGAATGCCAATTCCTCAGCTTTTGCGGTTTATGTTACATTAAAGCACAAATCTGTCACTAATCGGTGAGATGTTTTTGTGTTCAGTCAGCTCTGGCTCACCGTCCTCATGCTGATCGTGGTGGGCTTTTCTCTCTGTATGAGCTGTATCCCCACCTTTGCTGAGATGATCGCTTGTGCACAGTGAGGCAAATGCATCATCGTACAAATCCTAGTTCTCCCACTCAGCACTGAGTCACATTTTATGTTAGGCCATTTAACAGGTTACTGTGTCTGTAATTCACTCAGTTATGTCTCACTAAATTCCTGAAATGGTTTGAATAAATGCAGTTAACCCTGAAACTGAGTAAAATACAACAATACAAACCTCTACAAAATATAAACATGTTTTGACGCACATTTTCCTCGTATTGCAGTGAAAATGGCTTTGAGGAGGGCATGAGTACACTGGGGTTGGTGTCAGGCTTGTTCTCTGCAGTCTGGTCTGCTGGGTGTGTATGAAAATAAAGTTTACATGCAATATTCAAGAATATACTTTAGAATTTCCCCATCATGAAACCTGAATCATCTTTTTCATGTTGAAGGATGTTCTTTGGGCCAACTATTGGAGGATACATCACACAAACACTCAACTTTGAATGGAGCGCAGGAGTTCAAGGCGCACTCGCCTTTCTCGCTGTAAGAAAAATAAATTTCCGAATAAAAGCGTAACAGGCCATTTTTATAATAGATATGCATTTTCTTAAAGGGGTCATATGATGTTGCTAAAAAGAACATTATTTTGTGTATTTGGTGTAATGAAATGTGTTTATGCGGTTTAAAGTTAAAAAAACACATTATTTTCCACATACTGTACATTATTGTTTCTCCTCTATGCCCCGCCTTTCTGAAACGGCAATTGTTTAAAATCTGAACATTTTAAAATCTTGCATTAATTTGTGATCCAGAAATGCATATATATATTTAATCAACAGCATATTTAACTCTGGTGCTAAATAAATACCATAGTTGATTCCCTTCTGTGATATGTGAATATATATTCATATTAGATATGTCATTATGATTACTGCTGGAGTTGTTGCTGTTATATTGAAAAATTTAATTAACGAAATATTTAAAAATAACACGTAGTACACAAAATACTGTACAGAAACAGTAAAAATATCAGTATCAAAATGACAAAATATATTTTAAAATAAGGCCAACTACAAAAAATTCATCCACATAAAACACTTTTGGAAACACGTTGTTTCTATGTGCTTAGTTCCTTCATAAGAGAGGTAAGTCTTAGCAATCAGATTCAATCACGTTAGTTCAGTCCTTCACCTTCAAACGCACCGTTGGCTTGGCCTAGTCTGGGGAGGGGCCTCCTTCTTCTGGAAGATGCTGAAGACATCTCACGATCTGAGGACGGGACCCGAGGCATCATTGCTTATTATTATCAATGTTGAAAACAGTTGTGTTGCTGCATTGTTTTGTGGAAACCATGACACATTTTTTTTTCAGGATAATTTTGATGAATAGAAAGTTCAAAATAACAGCATTTATTTGGAATAGAAATCTTTTGTAAAAATGTAAAAGTCTTCACTGTAACTTTTGATCAATTGAATGTGTCCTTCCTGAATAAAAGTATTAATTTCTTAAAAACTTTAGAATGGTAGTATAATACTAAAAACAGATCACATTGTCTTACTTTCTGGTGTTTGAGGGATGGAGCTCTTCTAATGGGCTGCCCAGCAGGACTGTAACCACCTGTGAGAGGAGAGAATGTTTAAAGACCTAATGAACATGTGATTTTAAGTGCCTTAGGAACAAACTAAACTTTTCTATATACATACTAACATTTTTCAATCTTCTCTACCCTGTAGTGTTGAGATGTGCTCTTCAAAACAATGCATGCTCAAGTTATCCTACATAATATAAAGAGAATGTAGAGAACATACTACTGTGTGAGGTGAGCGTGGCCTGTGGAATGAGTTGAGCGCTGAGTGATGAGGACATCTGTAGTTTGGAGTGAGGAGACAGCAGAGATGGAGGAGGAAGATACGAGGCCAGGCCCTGAAAGAAGCCACAATAACAAGAGCTCAATGTAGGACTGAGCTTCAGTATGAATGCTATATGATACAGTTTCTATTTTGAATATATAAATATGAGTGCTGCTCTTGTAGTAAATTTTAATGTTAATCTCATTGCAAATGGTTTTAATCATTGTATAATCAATTCAAGGACTAAACCGAACCAACTCCAATAAATCATGTTTAGACAGAATAATTTTACTTCAACCAAAACTAGTACTGTTTGTGTCTATAAACATAATTTAATAAACTCTAAAAGCTGTTTTACAGGTGTAACTTCTATAGCCAAGTGCAAAAAACAAATATTCACCTCTTGGCTCCTTCCCAGATAAGACATGCCGCCTTTAAAAAAATGTATATATATATATATTTGTGTCAATTTACAACAGAATTCATTGCAAATAAACATTATCATGTACATCACTTGCCTTGTTCATACATATCCACACCAGGGGAACTGCGATGGGGCTCCTGAAAGAAAAAAGTATAGCTGACAGATTACTGACTGAATTATAATGCTGATAATAATCAGTTACAATTTAAAACAGCCTATCTATTTTTGGCCCTTAAAACTTCAAACTGATTCAAGCTAAAAACCTTCAAGCTTTTAAAACTGATTCAAACTTTCTGGTCAGGCTTTGTCAAGCCAACATCAAAGTTTGTCCTGATTAACTTTTTTTTTTTTATGTAGTTAAATATAATCATCAACATGTTTACCAGTACAGAGTCTAGTTTCTGTTTGACCCTCTGCATCTTTAGAGACACACGAGCTGTGCTGGCGAATCGGTCAATGCCGGTGGCTGAAGTGTTCTGGAAGGTCATGACCTCTGATGAATTCCTGCCCGTCTTACTGTCCAGATTCTCTGACCGGCTCAAGCCTCTCAAACTCTCCACCTCCATCTGAGCCACTGCGTACAAGCACAAAACACTCATCTTTAAGAGAAAATTATCATATGGCTTGTGTTTCTAAATACTAATGAATCAGAGGATTTCTGAGTCATTTAGAGGACTCACACTTCCGGTCATACAGATAGAGATGGATGGGCTGGTTTTGGCCGAAGGAACAGAAGGCCACCATGTTCTCATGAGGGTGGAAAGCTACAGCTCGAAGCGCAGATGTATAGCACAGCTCAGAGTACACGGCGACCTGGTCACCTGCACAACAGATATCCCAGTTCAGTCTCCACTTGGATTTTTCTTTGTATTCATACTAAAGTGACTCAAAAGAATCTCCAAACCTGTCTCAGAGTTCCACACATACGCCAGTCCATCTTCACTGCCTGAAAAGATGAAGCTTCCGCAGGGAGTGAATGTGCTGTTGATTCGCTCCCTGTAGTTTGTGGCACCTATGTATTTCTTCACTGCAAGACTGTAAAACAAGTGTTTGTTTTTAATTTGATATTTGCATTTATTTCGGTTATTTGAGTTCTTCCCTATAATTACTGGCACTATCAACAAATGCACTGATTCATGTGCTTTTTAAAAAGTCAACATGGAAGTAAAATTGGCTCAAATTACTCTTAATACACATATATTAGTCTCAGCCTCAGACGTCATGCCCACGGACCATTGGCTGAACGTCTGATGCATATGGCACACAAAAGTGGAAACACTTCAGGAGTTTCGAAGTCGTCATCGGATTGGTTGAATTATACAGGATTTCCAGGAGACGTGTGTGTCGCGTTCTTTAACGTTCCGCCTGGAAACAAAGATACCGTCGCTCCAAACCCCATCACGAAAGAAGAAAGCCGTCGTGTTTACAACTGTGACGACGAGCGCTTATGAGGATCAACTAAACGCTGGATTCTCAAAATTATGTGAAATATTTAAAGTTCACGGCATAGAATCTTTAAAATACGTCCAAAAGTTTTACACACCGGTCTGTTATTGTGGCGACACTTCCACGCCCCGAAACATGACGCTGAAACGAAACAAACTATGATTGGTTGGTTGACATGTTGGTCAAATGGCCTCATGGGCGGGCCTTGGCCAATGAAAGCTGCCATGGATTCCAGACCTTCAGCCGCTACGCGAGACTACACATATATAGACTTGCTGCACATGATTTATCTTAATTAATTATTAATTTTGAATAATGAATAAATTTTTCGCCAAAATGTGATATTACATTATGCTATTAAATAAATGTTCAAATATTAATAAAAAGGTAGGCTTACATTCTCAAATCCATGACCCTTAAAACACTGTCTTTGGCATGAATTAAAAGTCGTCTTCCGTTTGGATGCACCTCTAATGAGTTGATGGATATTCCGTTCAGATCTGCCTCTTTAATTTCCTGAAGAGAAATATTACATTTGCAAATTATTAAATTAGTTCAAATCGTGATTTTTTTAGCTCTTCTATGCAATATTTGAGAATGCATTTACCCTCTCAATGCTCCATTGACTGGTCAGTCCACGGCGAGACCCAGGCATCACCTTGGTTCCCCACACAATAATGAGGCCAGAATTGTCCGCAGAAAACATTTTGCTTCCTATGTGAAGACCAACATATTACTACATTTATTTACATTTAAATTTATCAACTTAGCAGACACTTTTAAGCAAAGCAAGTGTCACTGATGTCTCGAATAACAGCTTTAACATCACATCCAGACAGACATGGCATATGTTAATTTCCTCTGTACCTTCTGGATCAAAACACAATGTGTTGATGAAAGTCTTGTGTCCATCAAACTCTTGCAGAAGTTGCCCGTTCACGTCTTGTACATGTACATTCCAGACACGCAGCACCCCGTCGTAACCCCCCGTCACCACCAGACTCTGGGCTTGCGGGTGGAACTGGGCGCAGTACACGAATGAAGGGTGAGGAAGAGTTTTATGAGCAAAACTCTGCAGTCGTTCAACGTTCCACACTCTGAGAAAGGAAATCAAAAAATGATAGCTCACACTTTCTCTCATATTTGTGGTGTAATTATAGGTTGCACAATATTATGGGGTAAGCTCTGTATATGCAAAAAGGGCATTTTTTTTTTACCTTACTGTTCCATCAGAGGATGCAGTTAATAGTCCGTTATCATCTCTGGACCAGCAGAGATCATATACCACACTCAGATGGCCATTAAAGGATGCCAGAACTTTCCCAGATGGAATATCATATACTAAAAATAAAGACATTTCATTAAATTACATACAGGAATACAGTATTTGCAGAAATTGATGATTAGTTGATGCATAACATTTGTTACTTTTTTTTCATGTTAGGTTAAAATGTATATGAATTTTTTTATATACATATATTTCGTATGGGACACCATACTTGACCACACATCACATCCTTTCCTTGTAGGCTTTTCATCAAGTTTTTCACCACGTTTAATACATAGTTGCCTTAACAAATTTATTTTAAATGGTAATGAATGGTAATATACCATTTGGTGTGATAAATACAAATATTCCATTTATTCTCAATTAATATGAAGTGACAAAAAATGAATAAATAAACAAAATTCTGTTTAAAATTGTTATATAGTATGTATAGTATGTTACAATTTTAACTTCCCAAAACAATTTTTTCAAATATTAAGTTTTATATGTTTTTGTGACAAAAATATGTCATAAAAAATATTATATATATATATATATATATATATATATTAGTGCTGTCAAATGATTAATCGCATCCAAAATAAAAGATTTTGTTTACATAATATATGCGTGTGTACTGTGTGTACATGCATGTATATATTTAAGAAAAATGTGTTAGGTTTATATATTAAATATATTTATATATTATATAAATGTATATACATGTAAATATTTTCAAAATACATACTGTATGTGTGTGTGTCTTTATATATACATAATAAATATATACAGTACACATACATATATTATGTAAACAAAAACTTATTTTGGATGCAATTAATCGAGATTAATCGTTTGACAGCACTAATATATACAGTACACACAAAAACAACACGTATAGCTACAAATTACTTACTAATGATTGGAAACGCATCTCTATCTGCACATGCAGCTGCTAGTGCACGTCCATCATGAGAAAAACCTAGAGTAAAACAGCCCATCTGACCTCCACGGAAGGAGTGCATTGGCTTATTCGGAATGCGGCACACCTGTTTAAACAAACAATAAGAAACATATTAGGTCTAACAAAAGGATTACTGACTCACCTAATTTTTATACTGTAAAGCAGGGGTGCCCAAACTCGGTCCTGGAGGGCCGGTGTCCTGCAGAGCTTAGCTCCAACCCCAATTAAACACATCTGAACCAGCTAATCAAGCTCTTACTAGGCATATTAGAAACTTCCCAGCAGGTGTGCTGAGGCAAGTTGGAGCTAAACTCTGCAGGACACCGGCCCTCCAGGACCGAGTTTGGGCACCTCTGCTATAAAGCAAAAAAAAAATACCTGTCCGGGTATGCGGCTCCACTTGATGATTTCTGATTTGCTCTCCAGTATCTGCGTGCTGGTTTTATTGGTCATCTCAGTATTGAGCTCACTGTAGGAGGTGCTGCCGCGCTCCTGCTGGAGAGCCATCATGGAGCGGATACTGGGGTCCACCTGTTCAACAAACAGTCCAAATCAAACTTCAAAAAGCACCAGTTTTTAGTCTTTTCACTGTGGTTTTTAAATTCAAAAAGTGACCCTACATGTTCTGGTGGTTTGAGGCCTTTCACTGTGACGTAGAGGGTTGATGCGTATTTGTTTCTTGGGAACTTTGACCACCACTGGAACACTTCAACTGTTTGTGGCAGTTTCTTTGCCCGTGGAGGAGGGCAGAAAAGCTGTAGACGCAGTTTGGTGTCAACGTTCAAGACACCATTGGTTCCTACAAGCTAGAAGAAATAGCTAATTGGAATCTACTCCAGAACTTATGAAGGATACAGTACCATGGAATCTATGAAACTGACATACAAAATAACCAAACATCAGATCAACTATACCAAAGAAGACTAAAGTCAAATCAAAGCTGGTACCTTCAAAAAAGCCCAAGCAATCTTCCGGAAACCCCTCTCATGTCGGTCAACAGAGACGTTTGTTCGTGCTTCCTCCATACTAATGAAATCCAGAATCTGTAACACAAAGTGTTTTAGTCATTCCATTCTTTGCTCCGAGAACGCAAATATAGTTTTAAACTTATCCAAGTGCACAAACCTCAAAAAACAGTATCACACGTGGACTCTCATCATCGTCTTGAAGGAAATATCCAAAGCGCTCATTGAAGATGATCTGTTCCTCCCATTCTGGAACTGTATTTTTGTGTTTCTTGAAGTCAAAGGGTTGAGTTATGATGGGCAGGATGTGCTCGATGTTTTCTTGCTCATAGAAGGAAGAAACATGACGATGGCTGAGAACCAAATAAAATAAATCAGATTGTATTTGGGAGGGCTGGGCAAAAAATCGAATGCGATTTTCATGCGAATCTCATCAGTAAAGCCGCTTCTGGTGATTAGTAGTAAATCTCCAGCACGTGCTTTCAGATGGAGAGGCATTTACTACACAGAGCCGTAGATCACTGACAAGCTACACAAAATCGCATTCAAAATAGTTGATTTTGTATTTTTCCCGTACTGACAAGATGCGCATGAAAATCGCATTCGATTTTTTGCACAGCCCTAGTATTTGGTATTTAGATTATAAACCAAATGGTTCTAGCAGGTTTTGGTTTTAGGTTTTTTTCAAAAACAATACAAGTGAAATCCAAACCTGTCCTCCTTCTTGACATACTGTCCAGTGACCTCATCAACCACGTGAACTTTGACCATGGGGTGAGACACCATCAGGTCTGTCTTCAGCTTGTCTGTCCTGTGGATATAAACTCCCAGCACCAGACTGTCGTCAAAGGATCGTTTCTCTTCTGCCCGTTCCACCTCAACAATGACTACAACACAGAGCCGTAGATCACTGACAAGCTACACAAAATCGCATTCAAAATCGTTGATTTTGTATTTTTCCCGTACTGACGAGATGCGCATGAAAATCACATTCGATTTTTTGCACAGCCCTAGTAGATTATAAACCAAATGGTTATAGCAGGTTTTGGTTTTAGTTTTTTTTCAAAAACAATACAAGTGAAATCCAAACCTGTCCTCCTTCTTGACATACTGTCCAGTGACCTCATCAACCACGTGAACTTTGACCATGGGGTGAGACACGTATTTGGTATTTAGATTATAAACCAAATGGTTCTAGCAGGTTTTGGTTTTAGGTTTTTTTCAAAAACAATACAAGTGAAATCCAAACCTGTCCTCCTTCTTGACATACTGTCCAGTGACCTCATCAACCACGTGAACTTTGACCATGGGGTGAGACACCATCAGGTCTGTCTTCAGCTTGTCTGTCCTGTGGATATAAACTCCCAGCACCAGACTGTCGTCAAAGGATCGTTTCTCTTCTGCCCGTTCCACCTCAACAATGACTACAACCAGAAATGCACAAACACAATCAACAATAATATCACATCTGTAAATAATAATGTTAATGAAATGCACACAATATATATACATATTAAGAGAATATGGTGGTGGCAACCAAAAGAATAAATAAAAACAGCACACTGCAGCTATATTAGACATGTTATATTAGAAATTGTGGAGATATTGCAAATCTGATATTTATATCGATGTTGATTCTAAAAATTAAAGAACAATTCAAATTAAAGGGGTGGTTCACTGGGTTTTTCTAGGCTTGATTGTGTTTATGGGGTGCAGTCTAACATGTGTTAATGCTTCGTTTTTAAAAAAACATTGATTTTGAAACTTGTGAATCCATTAGAATCATTAGAAGACAGAATCGTGATTTATATATGAATAGATTTGTACGTGCACCTCGAGTTTTCTCTTCCTCTTCTCTAAAGCAGCGCAGCACGGCCTCGCCGCCTTTGCTGACTTTTCCCGAGGGCGGGGTTTATCTGGATTTGTGATGTCACGAACCCGGGAAGTAACTTGTTGTAGTCCCTACCAGACGTTTTTGTAGGCATTAAACCGCCAGAATTTTAAAAGACGATATCTCCGTTTGCACTGAACTTTCAGCTTCGTAACTTTGCAGATATTGTTTATGCTCAAACAGCAACATTACACACTAACTAAAGTTAAAAAAGTGAAATCGCAATCAACCACCCCTTTAAGAAAAATGACAGCCTATCATACCTTCTTTTCGTTTCTTTTTCTTCTTCTCTTTGGGTTTGACTGTGTCCTCCTTGAACTCCTCCACAACATCATCCTGGACATTTTCTGTCTGGTTATCCACTGACACTTCAGTTTGACTGCAAACAAAAAGGCAAAATGAAATTAAAAGGAAAATCCATCATGCTTATTATTACCTTAAATATGTTTCGAAAAAGTCATGTTACTCTACTCATACTATGCTTAACTGCTGGCTAAGGCCACTTTTAACCTTCAATTAAAGAAAAATTGTCATTTCCGCAGCTCCAGCATCACCAAACAAATATGAAAAGTTCAACATAATGTTAAATAATCTTGGTCCTAATATGAATGGCATTAACTGTGATCGTTTATGAATATGCATTGCTTTTTACCTTCGATCACCATCATGTTTGTTTGATTTCCCCTTCTTCTTTTTCTTCTCCAGCTCATTGTTTAGCGGCTGGCTCTCTGCAAGCTTCTCCGTGGCTTTCTTCCGTGTCGTCTTCTTTCCAGCCGTCTCTTCCTCCTGTGAGATCTGATGTTGGTACGCCTGCAGATAATCATCTTCTGTCTCTGTGTCTTCTTTCTGTCTACTGACATCACTTCCACTTTTACTCTTTGCTTTCCTAGTCTTCCTAGTATGTTTTCCATCAATCTCTGTATCAGTCCTCCTATCGTTGGCTTCTTCATTTTGAACAGGAGGTGGTGGTCGTGGGAGCTTCCTTTTGCTTTTCTTTTCCCCACTGGTCAGCGTGGGCTCCTCCTCACTTACAGCATTGTTTATGTTAGTCTTTTCAGATGCTTCTCTCTCTCTGCGCCGGTTTTTGGTGTATCTAGGACTGCCCTGAGCTGGATCATACGTGTTATGGAGGATACCTTCATCATCTTCAGTGTCTTTACTCAAATGTAGGTTCTTCTTCAAGTTTTGAAGCTGCAAGATAAAAGAATGGAGTTCAAATGACATAACGGGCTGCAGGGTGAATTAAGTTATGTTTTTTCTTGGTTAAATTAAAGGGGTCATATGATGCTTTTTTAAAGATCATTATTTTGTGTATTTGGTGTAACAGAATATGTTGACATGCTTTAATGTTCAAAAAACACATTATTTTTCAAATACTGTACATTATTGTAGGTCCTCTATGCCCCGCCTCTCTCAAACGACAAATCTGCACGTAAGAACATTCATGATCATCAGTGACAAAGAAAAGAGCTGTTATAGATCAAGTATGAGTGATCTTTACTCACCTGCTGGCATTCTGATGAACTATGGACAAATTCATTCTGGAAACAACAATCCTAAAACTGATAATATCATACATTACAATGGTATCAAAGAAGAACTGCTGTTTCTAAGACCAATGCAACATTTAGACAGTCTTTACTCGCCTATTTAGTTACAATCACACAGACATAGTTCAGTTATTCTCACTAGAACTACTATTGCAGATTATGTAATATTTAACTTTGCTGCCAACACAGAAACACATCTAAAACCCAGCTATTCTGTTCTACATTGTCCTCATTTGGAAGTCTCTTTGGATAAA